TGCTCATTGAGGTTAAAATCATAAATAATATTCAACGTTAAACTGGTACACAATTAAAAACATTTTATTTAGGCCTATCTATGGCCCTCAAAAACTTGAACACTCTACATGTTTCGACGTTACATCCTCCTGAGGATGACGTTGTAACGTCGAAACATGTAGAGTTTTCAAGTTTTTGAAGGCCATAGATAGGCCTAAATAAAATGTTTTTAATTGTGTACCAGTTTAACGTTGAATATTATTTATGATTTTAACCTGACGATTACTTCTGTTTTATGGCAGCATGTGAATAAACCATAAACGCAATGCTTATAGTTATAAGGCCAAATACATACATCGTGGGAAATTACTAGATATTGAATGTTTGAAGTTATTATCACCATTATAAAGTTATTTGTTCTTCTTTAAAGTTCCATAACGAGAGTATGCATTCAGTTGTTTTAGTTTCAGCTGAACGTTCCTCTGATTTGTAAGGTTTACTTTATATATTTTTTCTACATAGACACAGCTCAATGGCCAGGTGGTTAGGGCGATTGACCTGCAATCTGAGTGTTGCGGGTTCGAATCCCCGTCCCACCAAACATGCTCGCCCTTTCAACTGTGGGGGCGTTATAAAGTTACGGTCAATCCCACTATTCGTTGGTAAAAGAGTAGCCCAAGAGTTGGCGCAGATAGCCATCGTGTAACTTTGCACAAAATTCAAAACAAATAAACCGTTTGTGTGTGAGTTTCCACATACCCTACAGAGCAAGAGAATGGTTTAATCTCAGAAATATCTTGTATAACAGCAGAAATCAGGGTATCTTTGAAACAAAATCTCATCAAGATTGCTTAGGAATTCGCTTACTTATGGCTGGAACTTTAGCAAAGTTAACTTAAAGCTTCTTCAATAAAGAAGCATAAATCCCAACAGGAAATTAATTGTTGTTTTTTCTGAAGATTCATCAAAAATCATCAAGTGAAGGTCGTTTGGCTAGATAACTATATTCCCCTGACAACAATATTTATATTTTCATATTTTATCACGTCTTACGTATTAGAATTTCGAATAATCCGAAGCCGAGTTAACTGATAATTTAAATTTAGTGCTTAAATTGTACTTTGGATTTAGTATTTAAATACATGCCGATATTTTAGTCAATTTACGATATTTGCCAACAAGACTGATACACACAGTTTTCGATTTTAACACAAATACGTTTTAATATACACACAACAGCACAATTTACAATCAATTATTACAAATATTTATTACAGACAATGATTTATAAACAGAAGTTGCACAAACTTACAAACAATATAAACTTTTCTTTCTAGTCCGGAACTTCCTTGATATATTATCGAGGGTTCACGGTGAGCGAGTTAATTACGAGTTGATGTAGATACGATCCTCTGGGAAGCTAGCTAGCTTTGTCCTTGGCCACACTCACACTAGGTTTTTCACGATGAATTTATATATGTCTTCGTAAAATTACTAATGTTCGATGAGAATCCACTAAAGTTAAATGATTTGTAACGTTCGAAATTTATAAATATTCCTGGTCAACTATCTGCGGTTTTCCTATTAGTAAGCGTTATAACAATCACATTTATAGCATCCGAAGTTTATAGCACACTGACTATAGCGAACTAATAATAGACACTCTCCTTAGCGCATCGCATTGATTATATTCATAGCCGTGGGAAGGTTTTCAGGAAAATTCAGTCTTACGTAACAATACAGGTTAAAGCGTTTACGTATATAGATCTATTATTGATTTTTACTCTCGAGAATTTTCTACAACTTTGGAGAATAGGCGGGAGTTTCGCAATACCTATCTAACAGTATTAGCTATGTATGTTTCTAAATATAAACTTAATCTAAACAACGTTCATATTAAAATAAATGTATAACAACAAATTCGTTACACACGTTGAAGTTTGTTTTTTTTTGCAATAAGTGATTCACAGCTTTCGTATTTAATTAGAATAGCAGTCTTATTTACTGAAAGACTGCATGAAAGCAACAATACAAAAGTAATCTTTGATAGGTTGTTTAGGCAGAATATTCATAATGAATCTAAGTTTCAAATGGACAGCAACTGCCTGTTGTATAAGCCTACAAATGTAGAGGACGACGTTTCGACAGTCTTCCACCTTTCGTCTTCAGGATTCAATACAAAATTATTATTTTCTAATTCAGAGTAAACATAGATAATAGACCAAAATAAATGTACTCATTGTTAGGATTATGTGAAACCAATTTCCTAAATTATGAAATATTTTGCTAAGGAAACATAACTTCTGTAATTAAAGCACAGAATTTGTAAAACGGTTTATTTTCTAATTAAGTTGGGCTTAAATCAAATATATATTAATATCGTTTGGCTTATAGAATCACTTTATTAGGCTTAACCTGAGGGCAAAAGTTTGATATTTTTTGTTTGTTTGCTTTGTGGAATTTTGCACAAGGCTACTCCAAGGCTATTTGCTCTAGCCGTTCCTAACTTAGAAGTGATAAAAAGAGGGAATGCAACTAGTCAAAATACCACCCACCTCAACTCTTGGAACACTGTAATCGAATAGTGGGCTTACCCATAACATTATAATGACCTCAAGTTTGAAAGGGCGAGAATATTTGGAGGTTGAACTGGACCCGCAAATTGCGAGTCGATCGCCCTAATACCAGACTAATACAAATTTGACGTTACTGTAACACATAAAAAATGCCCCCCTGTGGCACAGCGGTATGCCTGCGGACTTACAAGGTTAGAAAATGGTTTTCGATACACGTGGTGGGCAGAGCACAGATAGCCCATTGTGTAGCTTTGTGCTTAACTTTAAAAACATGAAACACATATAACTAACTGTCTAATATTATTTAGTTTTATCTAAGACTTGGGTCTATTTCCGGTAGAAATTGATAACGACAGGTTTATAACTTCAGCCACTTATAAAGATATACAACATTAGTGATAACTTGCTTTTGTGTTACACAACAAATAATAAGTAGATGACGACTTTCAAAGTAATCACATGTATACTTAAGATTCATGTTACTTTTTGCTTCTATTAAAATATCTTACAAAATGACAAAATTGTATGCACTTACAGGAGCCAAAAATCACATGGCAACGCTGAGTGTCCAATGGATAATGCCGAAATGACATATGACAAGAAAGACGAAGGGTAAGTCTGTGAAAGAAACGTCAAACAAAAGCAAATGAAAATATACTCAATAATTATCCGTAACAACCAAGCTTCGATTCTGATCATCTTATTCTAAGCTAATCATTACTGAAAAATAAATACATTATTCAATGCTTTGTCCGACTAGTGTTTTTATTTTCAACTCAAGATTTTCTCACTAGAGCGGTGTCTTATTTTGAATATGAAAGTTATGCGCAAGTTTTGGATAAAAAGTCTGCTACCAGTGCTGTTTCGAGGTATGTCAGCTCTCTGTAGAACAAAGTCTACACCAAATCTCCTATTTGTATACATAATTTTGTATTTTATTGCTCATAATAATATCTCATTTATCATTTGAAGATATGTTTGGTTATTAACCGTATTTGGTGACTGACTGGTCTTTGAGCTTTCCTTCATAATGGTTAATTTTCTAGACAAGATAATTAGAATTTCTTTCTTAACTTTTAGGCCCCTTGTAAATATGATATATTGTTGTTAGAGCGTATACCATTTCTTCAAACACGAAAACTAAAAAACGTCATCTGATATTTAGCACACGACCACCTCATGCTGTTTAAATCATACTAATAGACGCAAAACTCAAACATATAATTTGATATTGTTATATTTCTTTTCACACAGATGTAGTTAAAAAAATATTAACAAGTTCTATCTTGTCTCCAACTAGATAGTCTAGGACTCACAACTGTGCGATAAGATGTGTTCTTGATGGCGTTCACATTATAAACAAATGGAGCCCTCAGCAAAAAACGAATAATTTACATATTAATGCATAGATAATCTTTTGCTTTAACATATTTACAACAAATGTAATTGAAAAAAAAACATCGTATTAAAATCAGCATATTTTTGAATCTTTATTTAAAAGACAATATCAAACAAATTATCTATCTTCCACTAAAATCATTCTCATTTTATTTTCTACTTTAAGAAGCTTCGGTAATTAGTTAGTATACTTGACTTGATACAATCTTGCGTCATTATAACGTAAAGATTTCTGGCTTCACATAGTTTTATTATTACTAAAAATACAACTAATGAATATTATTAAATAAAATCAACTGATGAATATTATTAGATAAAATCAACTAATGAATATTATTAAATAAAATCAACTAATGAATATTATTAAATAAAATACAACTAATGAATATTATTAAATAAACAACAACCCTTGATATGAATAGCTCTGAATTTCGATTGTCAAAGAAATATTTGTATATTGAGCTGGTAGCAAGGTTAATGGAAGTCAATATTATTTGTTGAGAAGTTATCAATTATATGCATATATGTATTGATATAGATGCTATAGAAGCGAGATTGGTAATCATGATGTAACAGAGTGAGTTATTAATTAAATAATGATCCTTAGATATGAGTTATATTAGGTATGTTTGTCAGCATTTATTGGGTTCAGAAGATGACCATTTGATCAACTGTTATTAAAGAGGATAGGGAGAACCATGAAATGTCATACAGATTACACATTTCTTTTAATTTTCGCAACAAAATTAAGCCTCATGTTTCGTTTTTCGTTCTCCACCTGTTTAACATGACACGTGAATATTATATGAAATTAGGCGCTATGTATTTATCCTTGTAGCGCAAACAGATAATATTTGACATTATTGTTTTATTCCGTTATGTATTACTGCCTTATTTGTTAACCTGCGTTTGACGTTATGATTTGTCCTAGTAAAGTAGTAAACACGAACGGAGGCAGACCGGGTTTTCAGGGTCGAATATAGAACTGAACTCCTGTTGGTATCACGATCTGATATCTGTAAAACACAACTTGCTCATTATGAAATCACAATAATACAAAATATTCTGACTCTTCCAGGCAACACTGCCAGGGATTCCGAGAACCATCATGGGCTCTGGGAAAGAATTGGTATGTCCTCTTTCCGAAAAGTTTTTGGAATGATTTCCATACATTTGTTTTGTCACTCTCATAGGTCACGTGATTGGAGGTTGGCCCAGGATAAATATCCTCGGCCTTCCAACCATCTCGGTGGGCCTAAACACTTCCACTCCAAAACGAATTAGAAAACAATAATTATCTATATTTCTTTATTTTTCAAAACAGTTTGTTAGTTGCTATACATTTGCTAAACTAATATAACAATTTAACAGATGCAAGCACGAGAATAAATAAATACAGAAGATGGGAGTGTATGGTTTCAGATCTGAAGGTCATGTGACGTCATACTTCCACAAAGTGGCGCCAGAAGGCGTATGGTGTGCCACAATGATGGATAGTTGCACAAAGTTGTGCCAGGGATGTGTAGTTCCAAAATGTAGTCGTGGATGATGAGATCATCTGCGTTGCAAGGACAGATGTTTTGTGGTTTGCTTACGAACCAACAGAGGATGTTGTTAATTGTCAAGTTGTGTTATGAATTCGTTTGTGTATTATTATAAGCGTCAACTTCATAGTAATAATAGTAATAAACAAAGCCTTTCAATACGCAAAATTAATATTTCATGTATTAGAATTGTTGTTTGGTATTAAGCACAGAGCTACACAAAGGGTTATCTGTGTTCTACCCACCACGGGTATCGAAACCCAGTTTGTAGTGGTCCGCAGACATACCACTGTGCCACTGGGAGGCATGTATTAGAGACTGACTAAGTTATGCAGTGTATTTCATGATTATTCATGTACTAGTTTAACTTACAATCTACATAAAGGTCTGTTTTCCATATGAACATAAAACATTCAAACTTTAGATATTATTATTTGAAACATATAAACTAAAAGTACTACAAATAGGTCTAAACAGAAAACAAAAACAGACAGTACGAGTGTATTAATGTGATATGTATTCCTATTTGCATTGTGAATACCTAGAAAAAAATTCTTTATCACAGTTTGGATTTCATATAGTCCCATAAAGTGGCGCCATGGGCGTATATATCTAAACCATATCATGTATTACAATTTGACTGTTAGTATAGCGTACTTCATGAACGGTCTTATATAAGTTTAACTTACAATCTACATAGAGGGCTAATTTTCCATGTTAACATAAAACATTTAAACTCTAGATATGCATTGTATACATATACACACATAATTTAACTTACAATCTATGTAGTACTGAGTAGCCGATTTGTAAGTAAAATGTTCAAGCTCAACATAAATATTACATGCACCAAATTAAGTAACTGCAATGCAATACAGTTTGACTTTATAGTTTACATATATTATTAAACACATGCTAGATTATCTTACAACTAGATCGTCCTGAAAAGGACTATTTTTTGTGTCAACTTAGATTATTCAATCTCTAAATATTTTCGTATCCAAATGAAAAAAGACAGTATATAATAGCCTAAATAGCTTCGTTTTCATCCTCACGTTTGATTTTACCCTCTAGTTATTAAACTATATAGAAATCATTTTGTTACAATAACACTGTTATTGTATTTTATAAAAAGTTTTTCTAAACGCACAACTTATTGTAGCTGAAAATCCAATCATTTAAGTAAATCTGGTTATAGAAACTAAAATAAATCGATAAGACACCTATACAAGTATAAAGCAAAGTCTCTTTATCAAATTATAGGCACCTACAAATCCCCCCCTCCCCGTGGTGGGCAGAGCACAGATAGCCCATTGTGTAGCTTTGTGCCTAATTACAAACAAACAAAAACCTACAGACTTTATCCAAGTAATGACATATGAATCACATAAATCACAGTGGGAAACCTGTTAGGCCGTTCCAGGAAATAGTGGCAACACGAGAATGCAAAGCCTAAATTCAAATTATATTAAATTAGAACAAAAAAGTTGTCATAGTTTAATTATTGATAAAGCACAATTTTACGCGTATACACTTTGGTTTTGTTTACGTTAAAATCTACTCGATTTAAACATCAGTCCGTATGTGATTTCACTGTCCACTCCTTCATTTTGTAGCTACCCGCCCTCTAGCCACATAGTTTAGATCTACACTCCTGATGCCTCTTTGTGGAACCATCGAGTCTGATGTCACATTATCCGCTCTATGGCGCCACTTAGTAGAACAATGAAGTCACATGCCCTCCCGATCTCAGAGGGTACTCCCCACTGGGCGACGACCCCACATTGAGGCAGCTCAGCAATAACCGAGAACCCCAAATACTATTGTCGACCTAAATAAATAGACTAAACTGATTGTGGAAATAATTTTATATTTGTATTCTATGTTAAGTTCCAAGAACTTCTGATGTATGCATAGGTAATCACGTGAGATACTACAGTATGTTTTATTACAGCACTATGTTTTCAGACTAAAGAAGAAAAATATCCCTCAAACAGTAGTTCATCATATGCCACGAAAGGTTTGGTAAATATCGAATAGTGTAACTGTACGAAAGCTTCAATTTTTATTCGTTTGTAAAGAAAGAAAATAGCAGTAGAACAGTATTTTCGTACTTACGTAAAATCAAACACTCACTGCCAGTGCTTGGAAGAATAATGTATACTTCTCATGTGCCTTTCATGACTTGGGCAAAGGAATCAATCGCACTAACAAACTGGATTGTAATAGTCACGTTCTTCTTACCTCATACTGTACAAAATATGTCCATCCGGGGATAGTTTAATTAGAAAGTTGGGCACTGTAACCATATGGAAGTTGGCTTCTTTCACATTTCGAAAAAAGAGGTCAGGCTTCCAGATTCTTGTAATGATATCTTCACCGTTTAAAGTAACTGTTGAATTCAATCCAAGAGGTCGAATGTCAAGCCGAGGGTCAAGCCATGATTGCCGTAGATAAATATCTACAATGTATTCCTGTGTAAAAGCAGGTGGATGGATGAATCGACAGATGTTAATTTTCTTAAATTATTTCCTTCATTTGTACAAGTTGATCTAGTTAATCATATATCAAACTTCAGGTTCTTTACTTTGTTACGAATTGCTATATTAAAATAGTTAGAAAGCTCTTTTTGTTATTTCTTCCCATCTTTGAACTTCTGCAAATAGCATCATGTTAGATTAAAGGTTTGTCACACATAAACTTTTAAATCATGTTTTCTTCCCTCTCGTGTAATAACCCACAAGTCTCTGTAATCAATAGTATTATCAAACATATTCTATATTTTATTACTGATATTTGTTGCACGTGTCGTCTAAGGTAGCGAGTTTCTGCTGCAAATATCCTTAACATCGATGATACCCCACTCATTACAATACATTATAATTTTTATTACCAATTTGGCACACGTCCACGTGCTCTTTTAGAATGCAGTTTGCAAACAAAATCTACATTTACTATTTTATACTCTATAAGACCATCATTTAGTTACATGATAAGTAGATTGTCTATCTTCAATTATGCATAATGGCGCAGATACTCAATAAACATTGTATATTTGTAACTTTATTGTATTCTTCTTACTAGAAAACCATATGGAATTGTTAAGAATTATCATTCATATTGTGATGTAATATCACATAAACTACCAACCTACAAACCATGCTTCGCTAGCATGGGCGCTATATACCATAGAACTAATAAAACCCCAGTAGGTATTGTTATAATGTTATTTATTGTTGGGTGTGTTCGTTTATATTATTCGGTAAAACGATATTATGAAATATTCACTTATTAGCTAATTTCTCGTTCTCTAATATGAAGTTATCCTAATTACTTCATTGATTAAAAAAAATCTTAATATTTCAAAACAGGACTATCTAAAGGATTAACAAACTCAGTTAAATAATATCTTACTACTTCAGAATCAACGTAACTTACTAATAGAAACAATAATCAGTCATTATCTACTCTAGCCTAACTCACATTTTATACTGCTCAAATTGTTCTAAAGCTTTAAAGAAAAGTTTATGGGTCACTTGACATCAACCTCCCTTTGGTCAAACAACAATACAAACGAATAAGTTAAAAACAGCCGTCTATAACAGCATATTTATTATATTTAATAACTCTTAGATCGTTGTTTCCAACTTTTATTTGCTATCAAACAATAAGAATATGATAGATGAAGTCTAGACTGATTCTGTTACTAACTTTATGTATCTTACATGGCATGTTAGTGGTAGTAATAGAGCTTTAGCTATCACCACTACCAACAGTCCAACTTATAAACACTGTTAACAGCAATAATAAAGTCTAGACTGATTCTGTTACTAACTTTCTGTATCTTACATGCCATGTTAGTGGTAGTAATAGAGCTTTAGCTATCACCACTACCAACAGTCCAACTTATAAACACTGTTAACAGCAATAATAAAGTCTAGACTGATTCTGTATCTTACATGCCATGTTAGTGGAAGTAATAGAGCTTTAGCTATCACCACTACCAACAGTCTAACTTATAAATACTGTTAACAGCAATGATAAAGCATAGACTGAGATTGACATGATACTCTTACGAAAAAACCTTTGTCGTGATTCACAACTCACATATCTTGTTGTCAACTCTAATAGATCTAGTTGACTGTAGTATCAAAAGCTCACAATTCACATACCATGTTGGCAGCACTCATAGATCTAGTTGATTCTAGTACCCATAGCTATTATCTTACATACCATGCTGGCAGCACTGATAGAGCCTAAGCTGTTCACATACATGTTAATCTTCACATCTGTTGGTTTTCCTAGAAGAAAGAAGACAATCATGTATGTTCAAATGTAAAATATTTTTAAAACCAGATTTTATTCTTGAGTTTCAACCTATCTATGGGGGGATAATAAATCTAATGAAACCTTTCAGATGTATTCTATCATTTTATACCCATACTAAACATAAGCTTCTCTTTATATGCAACCTCTAGCTCATAGTAAAAATCATCAGTGATCAACGTATCTGTATATCTTGAACAGTAACAAATTATTTTGCATTTTCCACATTTAAAACCTAAAAAACAGACAGAATTTGTGGGTTTAAAAAACCCAGGGTGCTCGAAAACTATATCTGCATAGCGACTAGAAATATAGGAATGCATTAAACTGGGATAGTTAATATATATATATGTGTGTAATTAAATAAAGAAGTAAAAATAAATAAACAATGTTTTGCATTTCCCATAAGTTTTAGTGTTCGGATTTTAACCACTAAATTATTCCACTGTATTCTAGTGTTCAACGTTCAAAGTATTTACTTGAAATGTACCATCCTGACTTTCATAACACATTCTTGTATACAGATTTTAAACTCATGTATTTTACAGATTTTTTAGCAGAAATATATATATCAAAGAATAAATATTCTCATTTCTTTGTTTTGTTAAGCACAAAGCTGCTCAATGTGCTATCAGTGCTGTGTCCACCGTGAGTATCGAAAACTGATTTTTAGTGTTATAAGCCCTCAGACTTATCTATGGAAAATATTAAACACACATTTAGTATTTTCGTTTACTTAACAAATAATTGTGATATAAAAACTACATCAACTTTAATAAGCCCAAAATAGTAGAATTGCAGATTTAAAAAAAAGTTCATACCTTCACCATAGGTCGGACACGCTCTTTTATCATATCCATCCAATATAACGTCAAGAAACGCCAACCTGTTTTCAGAAGAGGAACCATCCTTTTCCAGTTGAGTCGATGAGCTGAGACACAAATATATAAATATATTATATAAGCTGTAGTTTAATAAGAATAATACAACCACCGAAGAGATGAATAACAACATATTTGTGGAAAAGTCTGTACTATACACATTCCATCTTCAGTAAGTTCTTATAGTAAACGCCAAACTGTAATTAAAGATAATCACCTGAATGTTAAATTAAAGCTTATGTACTCGGATAAAAAAGTGTTAAGACTGAAGGCGAAGGGAGCTCGTAAAAAACCAATGAGTGAACTTGGATATAATATAGACCCATACTAAATGAATTAGTAAAAGCTGTTGTTGTTGTTGTTTATTAAGCACAAAGCTACACAAACGGCTATCTTCTGCTCTACCCACCACGGATATCGAAACCCGGTTTCTAGTGGTATAAGTCCGCAGACATACTGCTGTACCACTGGGAGGCACTTGTAAAATCATCTATATAACTTGTGAGAAAGAATTAAAACAAGTTTAACTCAACAGAAGTTGAACTATTATTCAAGCTAAGATCTTGTTTAATAAGTAGACTCACTTTAATGGTACGTTCCAAGTCTAAACTTTTAAAATCAGCTGAGGAAGTCACTGTCCAGTAGTTTGACCGTGTGAGTGGTTAGAGGTGCAGAAAGATGATAAAGCTTGACCGGTTCTATAGGAAATCCCCGTGTGTTCACGTATAATTACAATTGAATGGTGTTTGTTGTTTCCAATGTAGATAGCTTTGAAGCTGCCATAGATATATGAGTAGATGTTTCATGAAAGAAGAGAGGTTTGAATGCAGTTTTTAACTAAGAAAACATATTTTATCAGACATGTTGGTTTAACGACAATTCTTGGTTCAGTCTGTGTGTAATACTTATGTAACAGTATGATGAGTTGACTTTTAAGAAGTAAGAAAGGCATAGACATACGGGACATTTAGGTACAGGTCGATAGGGTGACCGGAGCCATAAGTAAAGATTATTTATTTACGTCTCTTGGAATGACCCTATAGCGACGCTATCTATCAAAGAAAAAAAGGCAATCATTGAATAAAAAGTGAGTGATGGTGAAAGACAGTTGATGGAGTTGTTTAACTTGTTAAAACATTGAAACCATCTGCTAGCTCCAAGTTATTTATGAAAAGATTAGAAAGACAAATGTTGATAGTTTCTTTAAAGGGAATTTCGGTTAAAGGGAAGTTATATCAAAACTAGTCATAAAGTAATCTCTTTGGGCGAGAAGTGAGGTGATGTAATTAGTTATAAAGTTGGTGGTGGTAACAGGTTGGAGTAAACGGGATTAAAAACTTAGCCAGTTGGTGAAAATGTGTGCTGATAGAAGAAAGTACACATCTAGTAGGTAGATTTTGGTTTACGATTTTGGTTTAGGAGGACCATATAGTGTACTTGGTCGAGAGCCACAGTGGCATATTTGATCAAAAGTCGTTTGAGAGATAATATTCGATTTTTTGGGGTTTCAAAAAATGTGTTGAGCTTTTTATTCTCGTTGCAGGGTAAAACTATGCACATCTGTGTTTAGTGGTCTAAATTTGGTTAATCCAGATAAGATATAGGTCATTTTGTTTATGTAATATTTCTTTTATCCTTAAGGATGATTCCATTACCTTTGTCATGACGACTATCAATAATGTCAGAATTATTTCCAACTTTCTTTAAAACAGATAGTTCGTCGGGGGGAAAGAACAGATATATAGTTGCAGGAGTAACAGTTGTAGAATATGGATAGGGTTGAAAAGACTCGGTACTTTAGGTGTTACTACAAATTTTGATCCTGATGAAATCATTTTAATAACAGTCCCGTTTCACTTAACAAGACGTATAAAATAAGTTTCACTTCTATTTACCTCCGAACAAATTCTAATATTCTGATTATTTTGCTTCTTTTGGACAAGCTCACAGGAAACTCAAGAATTTTCCTATCTATAATTCATCCATCCTTGAGCCTCCACTCCTATAGAATCTAATCAACACGGAACTAGAAAACTCAGCTTTAGCCACTTTTTACGACTATACAAGAAGCCACGTTTTTTTGGTTGAAACATCTATGACCAAATTAAGGGATCTGCAATAGCTCCATCATTACTTAATATATTTTTTGTGGATGACGGAATATGTGAAGAGTTTCAAGTCTGTATAATAACACTTTTGTCATCTTAACAAAGTGAAACATGTCCATCAGTTCTGTGAATATCCGAACAGTAGACATAACCATATGAAGTTCACTGTAGGACATTAAGAAATTCAAAACTTGATTTATTTGGTGTTTTGGTCCATAAAAGTAAGTGAATATTGAACTGTGAAGTTTTTCATGAAGAAAAAAAACACTCCCACAAGACACTATTTCAGTTTTGCTAATCTTATCCCAAATAGATACGAAGATAATATTGGTCCATCGAGGAAGTCTTTGTATTTTCTCGAATGTAAAGCTACAGAATGAGCTATCTGCACTCTATCCGTCGCAGAGAATCGAGCCCCGGATTTTAGTGTTGTAAGTCCGTAAAACTACCGCTCATCCAACTAGGGATATTTCATAAAGAAGTGAAGAATATATAATATTTCTTGGAAAAAGTATGTTTTTCTTACTATATATATATAACAGATAAGATCATAAGAATACATTTAGAAGGAGCTCAGATATTAAAACAAGGGATTGCCCACATTACCAATATCAATAGTCCTGTTTTTTATTAAAAAACAACAATTTAATGATATTTTTTAATAGTCTAAAATAGATCTAAAATTTATTTTCAAAATTGAAAGTAGATTAATTTTATTTTAATGGAAAGATAAGATTTCTGCATAAAAATACCTATCGCTATTTATTAATTTATTTGTCCTAGCGAGCGGGAGCATGCAAATTTACTCAGTGACAATAAATCGAGTACAAAAAAAAACATATCATGCATGATTTCAACGTAGAAATAAGGAGTGCTCATTTCAAGATTATGACAAGAAGAAGAAACAACGACAGCAGTCTGTGCATTAAAACTTTATTAATTAAGCGTCTAAAGTCCCAAATCAAAGAGGTTGGATTATCTATAGAATTGTTATTAATTTTTTTACAAGAAGCCGCTCTTTGTTTGCCAGGGTAGGTGGATATGACTAGTTGCATTTCCATCTCTGAATGGTCCTGGTACCCCAATCTGATTCACATTCCTTTGTTTTCCAACGCCATTAAATATAAATGATATCCCATCTTCGAAATTCTAAATCCCTGATCTTAACACATCCTTTACAATCTGAGTGTATGAATATCTTGCGTCGGAATGGGCGATTACATACCTTTACGAAAAGCGATCTGTTTTCAGTGACATCATGCTACTTACAGAACGTCAAGCAATGCCAAAATGTAGTTCTGATAAATTACGTTCCACCACGACTTTATATTGGCTCTAGCGGTCACGTGGCATACTGTTTTGAATACAAAATCGTTGGAATAATAACGTACTCAACCCTCTATTTAGTGATAATTCACCGTCGTCAATTTTCTAATTCTTTAAGTTTTCATAAAAATCATGGATATTTTCGAAATTATGGCTAATAATTAATCCACATATTAATGTTGTCTTACCCTGTTCCAATTCCAACATGGATAATTTCAAACACAAAAAAGATACCATAGAAATCCATATTTTCAAGACAAAGAACACATTCACCAATTAACATATATAACATCTAGAAAAAAAAGCATATTTCCAGTAATTCCCAAACATTTGTCATAGCACAAACTAAGTACTATGTGATGTATACCACTGCTGTACTTAGCTCAAAGCTATATCACGGGCTATCTGCACTCTGTCCATCGCGGAAAATCGAGCTATAGATTTTAGCGTAGTAAACCTATAAATTTATCGCCGACCCACCCGGGGACTTATCATATACAACCATCGATTTTATGATTGAGAATGATGAGAATAAAATTTTTACAACAAAGTTGTGTTTATAAATTAATTTTTTACTTGAAATGCATTCCCTACATAGAAAACAGTTGGAGTTTATATTTTTACGATTCTTGCATGAGATAATAGACGTTAGTAAATTATCCTTTAATATGCACAGCACGGAATGCATTTAGCCGCATATAAAATATAAAAAACACAGTTCTTGAATATAAAACTGTACTGTATATTCGCAATGTATAGTATAGTAATGACACGTTTAAGCATAATCCATAACATAACGTGTACAAATTCTATCAAATACGAAAAAGCCTTTATATCGTATGTGGCACATTTTTGGGTTTATGTAGCAAATTTACTGAATCTGTAAGGCCAGCAGAGAACATGGAATTATTTATAATGTTCTAAGCTCTATATTCTAATGCGTATTTCAGATTACGTATAAATAAATTTATACTTAATCTCAAGCGATTTCCACGTGTCATCCTCGTATTAAGATGACCGTTATTAATTAATTGGTATTGATTGTTTGTTTGCTTTGAATTTCGCGCAAAGCTACACGAGGGCTATCTGCGCTAGCCGTCCCTAATTTAGCAGAGTAAAACTAGAGGGAAGGCAGCTAGTCATCACCACTCACCGCCAACTCTTGGGCTACTCTTTTACCAACGAATAGTGGAATCGACCGTCACATTATGAGACCCCCACGGCTGAAAGGGCGAGCATGTTTGGTGGGGTGTAGATTCAAACCCGCGACCCTCAGGTTGCGAGTCGAGCGCCTTAACCACCTGTCCATGCCGGGCCAATTAGTATTGAAATAAGGATAACCTAGTGAGCCCTCAAATGTTGCTAAATATAATGATGAGTGTCTTGCTAATTTTGAAACAATGGATGCAAGTATATAAACTATAAGAGCAAATTTCAAAACCTCAACTACAGATTGCTGAAAGGTGGGACACTGTTCTGTGTGTTTGTTTGTTGTTGTTTTCACTCGCAGCAACACTCATTTTGTTTCACTCTGAAGTCACTACTCAGATTGTAAGAGCAGTTTTTTCTTATTACAAAATTTTCTATTGTCAAAACAGAGCTGTTTCAAAGCTGTG